CACGAATACCAGCCAGAAAAGAATACCCAGAAGATCTCAAGCAGATACCTTTAACCTTGTTTCTGTAAGAAAACCCTCAGAAGAAATAGTCCAGATACATCCAAAACCATAAACCGGTGAAGAAATATACCTTGACGAGAAAACCCTTCTGATATCCGACAGAGAACACAACCAGATCTGATGAAATCCTTGATAAAGATCCAAACTTTATAGGTTAAACACCTGGAACCTGGCTCTGATACCACTGTTAGGTAACCAATCTTTTCCCGTTTAACCTATATTACTTGTTTGGTCTTTTCTAACATGAGATAGTGTCTTGTTCGTTTTGTTGTTTGTAGAGCAAGAAAAGAAAGAGACACAGAGATTTACGAGTTCCCAGGATCAAAGCATTCCTGGTATGTCTCGGTGAGTTCAACCACTCACTGGATGTTTCAGAGTAGCAGATTACAAGAGAGTTCTATGAACCGAGCTCTCACCACACACCCTTACAGAGAAAGAACGAACACCCCAAGGAAAGAAGAGTAAGCCCAAAAGGAAGAAGACAACACGTCTATCCCTTTATGTCCCCCTTTTTTTCTCTCTCTATCACAATCTCTCTCTCTATGTATGCACAACGCTCTCCTTTATAAAATTTGCCTCTGAATCTGTTCTGCAGACGCTCCAAGACAAAGCCGTACTCTGCACTGTAGCTTTTGTGTCTCCCGCGAAAACACAGAGACCACTGTCGTTTCTGGATCCTGGGCTTTAGTCAACAGCAGACAGCACTTGGGCCTTAAAGTAGACCGGCCCAAATCATGATGACAAGCCCACCTGTCTGAATCCAATCGATAAAAACGACAATTGCAAATACATATTTTACTATTTTGATAGAAAATCTAGAAATTTTGCGTTTCCACCAATCAAATACATCATACTCTTTTCCAACCATGATATTTGGATTCTCACAACTCTCCTTTATGTATTTTTTCCAATTCAACTTTTGAATCTTGAACTCCAATTTCAACAACTATCTCCTTGTATATAGAAGCCATCCTTTCATAACCCAAACTTAAATCATCTTCCACCACTTTCATTCTTTCATGTGATTGTTGTAATGAATGTGTTTGACTAGAATGTGAGGATGTACTTGCAACCTTACCAGCACTATACTGCACAGAACAATAGTGACTGTATTATTTCAGATCATTTGCGTCGTAAATGTCTTCTCCATACGGTCTCTCAAAACACATTTGCAAAATCTGTTTTTTTCTAGGATCAAAAACTGAAGCTACAATCAGCATCTTATTTATTCCCTTCGTCCCTTCTCAATATTTATCAAACTTGTAGAACATCCCATTAGCTTTTTGCTTTTTTCTTTAACTCTGAGTCTTAAACTATCGGTGAGGATCATCAGACTTTTTTCTATAGTCACTATCTCCCCATAGCACTTAAAAGAGTAGAGTGATAGAAGCTGAGACAATCAAAGTAGAGTCATAGACGATGACTAAGAAACGTACAACGTTTCAACTGCATTCCAATCACTTGTAGTAGGATGCCCAACTCTTTTTTTTTCCCTTCTCAAACTCACTAATGTGGTCAAGGTATATGTCAAGAAAGCCAGAAAGCCAAAGATGTATGAAGGTTTTCTTGTATTGCATTAGGATCCTAAGATCGATATATATACACACATGTATTTACCCTAGCTTTCCACACAATTAGAAAGATTAAATATTAGAGATATACACAAAGATATGAACAATATATACGATATAACAGAAATAGATATATTCCATATATCCGCCAATACCCCTCTTCAAGGTGGAGCGTGAAGATCAAGAACGCCCAGTTTGGATACAAACGCTTTAAACTCTTTACGTCCAAGGGCCTTCGTGAAAATGTCAGCAAGCTGAGAGTGAGTAGAAACATGCTTTGTAGCAATGGTGCCACGGACAATCTCGTCTCGGATGAAATGACAATCGTTCTCAACATGCATTGTCCGCTCATGGAAAACCGGATTAGTAGCTAATTTAAGAGCAGACTGATTATCGCAATGTAATGTAATCTGAGCCGAATAATGAATACCAAATGAACTAAAAAGATTCTTGATCCATAAAAGCTCCCGAACTGTAAGAGACATAGCACGGTATTCTGTCTCAGTACTCGAATGAGACACGACATCCTGCTTCTTGGTCTTCCAAGAAATGGGCGAGTCACCAAGTCGGACAAACCAACCAGTAAGCGATTGCCTAGTAATGGGAAACCCCGACCAATCTGAGTCGCACCAAGATTCAAGCATCAAAGGTGTGAGCTCGCAGAAGTATCCCCTGACCCGGATTCCCTTTCAGATACATGACCACACAAAGAGCAGCAGTCCAATGAGCTTGTTTTGGTTTCTGCATAAACTGAGAGAGAACATGAACTGCAAAAGAGATATCCAGATGAGTAACAGCCAAGTAGATAAGACGACCAGTGAGCTGTCGGTAAGGATGAACGTTAACAAGGTCTAGTCTGTCATCCAAAGCCAACTGATGGTTCTGTTCAAGAGGAAAAGCAACAGGCTTCGCAGCAAGCATACCTGAATCAGAAATAATGTCCAACGCATACTTACGTTGACAAAAGTAAATTCCAGTAAGATTTCTCGCCAGTTCCAAACCAAGAAAGTATTTGGAGATTCCAAGGTCTTTCATGTGGAAACAGTAGCTCAAATAACTCTTGAAAGATGAAATAATGGACGGAGAACTACCGGAAAGGATCAGATCATCGACGTAAACTAGAACTTGTAAATGATCTGCTCCTCTATCCAAATTGAACAATGAATAATCTGGGATAGCCTGAACAAAGCCGTAATCACGTAATGCAGCAGGAAGCTTCTCAAACCAGCAACGTGGAGCTTGTTTTAAACCGTACAGAGACTTGCGGAGACGACAAACCTTATTCTTTTCAGAACCATGAAAACCCGGTGGAGGCCGCATGTATAATTCCTCTTTCAAATCTCCATGTAAATAGGCATTGTGAACATTCATTTGATGGACTTCCCAATCCTTAGAAGCAGCAATCTGTAAGAAAGTTCGAACAGTCGTCATCTTTGCCACCGGAGCAAATGTCTCCTCGTAAATTGTCACTTTCAAGTTGGTTGTTACCAAGTACCACAAGATGTTCTTTATAACGTTCCAAAGTTCCATCAGAACGAAACTTGAGTCGGAAAACCCACTTGCACCCAATAGCGTGTTTACGAGGTAGAAGATCTTCCACAGTCCAAGTTTGATTTTCCTCGAACGGCAAGACGCCAGATTTAGTCTAAATATGCCTTTTGTAAGATTTTGTAAGACTTATTCTACAAATTAAAAATTGACATTTTTGGATAAAAGTGAACAAATTTGATTGATAGTAAAAAAGAAAAGTTGTGACTGTTTAAACGGACGGCCTATTCCTCCACGCATTTTATGCCTTCTGAAAATCCATACACGAACTATTGAACCATGCTTATAACTACATGAAATATTGAAATGCGGCTAATTTCACCAAAATCGTAAACGGTGTTAATTTTCCGTCAATAATTAATGACGTGGCTGACACGTGGCATACCGGTTTACTAAGTTATTTGGTCGGTTTTTTTTATTTTTATTTCAGGTGATCAAAACGACGTCATATTGATATTTCTTTTAAAAAATGCATTCAATAAGACTTGAACACATGACCTTCTAAATAAGGGGTTTACCACCAAACCAACTGAATTAGAAACATTTATTGACTTTAATAAACTAAAAATATTTATTTTGATATCCAACTGAGATCAACATCATCCTTGGTTGATAATCTGTGACACCTAATCCTCCCTTACTTCACTCCGACTTACAGAGTCGTCCTCTACGACTAAGTTTTCGCCGGCTAAGGCTAGAATTATTATTTGGTATCCGAGATCTGATTCGGGATCCACTCTGATCTTCTCCGATCCGCTCCAAAAAAATTCGGATATCCAAGAGAGCCAGATCCGGCTAATAAAAATCAATATCCGTCTACACCAGATCCGTATCCGGATAGTTAAATTATAAGGTCCGGATATCCGTATTTGAATCTCTAACCTCTAAATATATTTTAAAATTATATTTTCTTGATAATTATGTAATATATTGAGATTTTTATACATATAAATAATTCAAATTAAATTAAAATATTTTTTCTAATAATTTTTTTTACAAAATATTAAATTAAATTAAAATATTTTTTCTAATAATTTTTTTTACAAAATATTAAATTAAATTAAATTTTATGATCATTTTTAATTTTTTTAGATTTTTAATATATTTTTTATCCGGATCCGGATATCCAAAAATATCCGCGAATATCTTAATATTTAGACGATATTCAAAAGTTCGGATATCCAAACATCCCAGATACGAATCCGGATAATTAATATTCGGATCCGCCACATACGGATAAAGATCTGGATATCTCAAAACTATCCGAATATCCGCTCTGATCCAGGATTAGCACCGGCAACGTCAATCGTGGTGCAAACACTACAAGAAAGATGTACATTGTTAGCTCACGATTAGCACTATCATATCGATTTAATAGCGTTTCGATGAACGCTGTGATCTCCGGAGCTATAATAGGGTGACCCCTATACAATAGCGTTATGGGATTGTGCTATAATATGTACTTTTATTATAGCGTTGAAATTGTGTTGTTATTGACGATATAGTAGCTCATTTTAGACGCTGTTCTATGTCGTCTAGTAGCATTATTTGCATACTATAATATGGACTTTTGTAGCTCGGTTTTGCTGCTATAGACCAATCTCTTGTAGCTCTTTTTTTTTTGCTACGGTATAACGTGTTGTAGCTCTTTTTCTAGGCTATAGTATATTGTTTTACAATACTTTTCCCGGGCTATTGTATAACGTGTTCTAGTATTTTTTTTTTTTACTACGACCTGTAGTTTTGCAAAATTATTTTCAAACCGAAAGAAACCTGTTTTCCAAAACTATAAAGAAACCAGCGTTTGCATTTAAAACACTCTTATTTTTATTAAACATCCAAACATGTCTTACACAAAACATCACAAGGACAAATATCGTATTAAAAACAAGTCTTACAAAACATCAAGTCTTAAACATCATACCAAATGTCTTACCAAACGTGGTCTTAACATCATGGCTGCTTGAAGTGCTGAAGCAATTCTTTGAGTGAGAAGAGCTTGCCTAGCCTGGGAGAGAATCAATGCCATAAGTTGTAGTTTCAAGCAACAAACACACACAGTAACTGCAACAAACCAAAACCATATATTGATGTATTGGGAATCTGTGCTTACGTAATTCTCCAAAGTCATCAAGCAAAGGTATAATTTCAGAATTGCACCAAAATCCAAATGAACAAATTACCTCAAAAAGATTTGATCATCTTGCAACCGGTTTTTGCAGCAGTTGTTGCCCTCTTCTGTTTTTGTCCAATATAAAACTCCACCAGATTTGATCTTGTATCCAAAACACGTTCCAATTGTTCTAGAGAAAAGTTTATTGTAACCAAAACCTGCTTTTGATGAACTGTGCAAATAATAATCGTCCTAAGAGTGTTAAACAAAGTATTATTCAGGTAAAGGACCAAGAAATCAAACCTGTAATGATGAGATGTAACTGAAACTGATTCAAGTCTCTCGTTTTGCTTAAACGTGGTCAAAATATTGCAACCATTCTTCTTTTCTGCAAAAAAAAAAATTCAGAAAATTAATAAACTCTCAAGAACAGAGAGAAGGAATAAGAACTAAAACCAAAAGCTAATGAGATTAAGGAGAAGAAGAAACGTCAACTCTTTGCAGTCTCAAAAGCATCTTCACCAGATCACCTAATCCAATACACAAGCAAAATCAGAATCTAACTGAACACATAAGCAGACCGATCTCCAACAAAAGTGTTAAAGTGACCTGCATCTCATGGAAACAAAAGTAATAAGCATCCACGCTTCTGAAAACAAGTGAATTGGCTCGGCGATACTTATGATCAACTTTAAGGTTCAGGCCTGTGCTTACCTACAACAAAGAAACACCGGCGTTACCATTTCAGCTTTAGAGAGTCTTTTGGCAGAGTTTATTTCACCAAGTATATAAAACAGCAGAACACTAACTCACCTTATGGTAATCTCCTACGGGAGATGCGTAAATGAGGAACGTGTACTCAGGTGCTGGAGCTGCTCCAAGGATAGCGCCACTCCCTATTAGCCGAGGCCTTGTATACAAAACTCCTTTACCCGGAGGAGGAACATAAAACACCAAAAAAAACCATAAAACCCGTGAGGAGCTTCTAGAGATGAGAGCAAACTATGATCAAGAATCATATCGATTGGAATAGAGATACACATTGGTCCATAGTCCATACCCATTTCTTGATGGCATGTACAGTTTGCTTAACTGCTTCGATGAATTGCTCCACAGAAGGTGGTGTCATACAAAGCCTATCAGCACATGTTTGCATACTAAGAGCGTTTTCGTCAGGCCGGAACAGCCTAACCTGGTCGTCTTCTGTCCTGTCAGCTTTGAGATCTTCAAATAGTCCCTACAAAGGCAAACCAATATCAAAAAAGTTTTTCTATCAAACCCTCATATATGTGTATAAACACTAAATCTCTAAGCTTTTGCTCGCTTATACACTGAAATCAAATAGCTTTAAACAATCTATGTATCACTACTTTGAATCCAGAGATTAAAAGCTTCTAACTAATGATCCTGCCCTAATTAAACCCAAACGTCCTATAATGTTGTCGCAAGGGACTTCGAAGGAGTTGATGTTGAGTAGTTTATTCTCTGCAAGCTACTAAAAAGATCTGTTAGGCTATCATTTAAGAATAAATCTTGCACCTGAATCAACTGCCAACGCTTTGTGTTCAACATCAACAAAGAAAAATGAAAATAATGCATATTATTAGGCTATTAGCGAGAAATACAACAACTGGTCATCATAATGAAAGTTTTAAGAATTTGCCTTAGGTTGAATATTGGGTGGTCTGTCTCGAAATCCTCGGTATAAGTTTCGGTTTGAATAATTTAAGAATCCCAATGTCAAAAGCCTACAAAGTGTTTAGAACCATACCTCTTGAACAGGATCGAAGAAAGCTCATGAGAGGAAACTCGTCATCGCCGTCCAGGAACCCTAACCCAAAATCTACAGTTAACCCTAATCAGCTCTTGAGAATAGGAGAGGCGAAAAAAGGGGTGAGTTGTTTCAATATCCTTTATGGAGGATGGAGGTGGAAGCGGCGGCGGGGAATTGAGAGAGGTGGGCTCAATCGGAGATGAGTTAGGGTTTAGGTTAGCTGGGTCGGGGGGGAACGGGAGGTGGAGAAGGAGGCTGAGAAGAAGGCGAGGAAGGAGGATGTGGTGAGATGGTTCAGCCATAACGGCAGAGACGGTGGAGGAGAAAATCGGAGACGGCATTCTCGAAAGAGAATTTTTTTTTTCCAAAGAACTTGTTTTTGTTCTTCTCCGAACAATATAAAAAAAAGAGTCACAGTTGGGGTACTTAGTATTTTTTTTCTCTTTTTGCCTAAGTACTGGCGCTCATCACAGAATTTAGGTTCCAAATGTTAATTTTTTGTTCCCGCTTAGTGAAATTTCGGTATAACGTGTTTAAAATGCTATAATAGAATATCCAAATCCGAAATATCCTCTTTAATAGCAGTTATAGAAATCATGCTATGTTAATGTGCTATCAATACTCGTTTTTCTTGTAGTGAAACTAAGTCGTCGATGACGACTCTATAAGTCAGAGTGAAGTAAGGGAAGATTACGTGACACGGATTATCAACCAAGGATGATGTTAATCTCAGTTGGATATCAATATAAATATTTTTACTTTATTAAAGTTTATAAATGTCTCTAGTTCAGTTGGTTTGGTGGTAAAACCCCTTACTTGGAAGGTCATGTGTTCAAGTCTTATTGAATGCATTTTTTAAAAGAAATATCAAAACGACGTCGTTTTGATCACTGAAATAAATAAAAAAATCAATCAAATCATTTAGTAAACCGGCATGCCACGTGTCAGCCATGTCATTAATTATTGACGGAAAATTAACACCCTTACTTGGAAGGTCATGTGTTCAAGTCTTATTGAATGCATTTTTTAAAAGAAATATCAAAACGACGTCGTTTTGATCCCTGAAATAAATAAAAAAATCAATCAAATAATTTAGTAAACTGGCATGCCAAGTGTCAGCCATGTCATTAATTATTGACGGAAAATTAACACCGTTTACGGTTTTAGTGAAATTGGCCGCATTTTAATATTTCATGTAGTTATAAGCATGGTTCAATAGTTCGTGTATGGATTTTCAGAAGACATAAAGTTCATGGAGGAATAGACCGTTTTCCCCTGTTTAAACATGAGAAAACAAAAAGAAAAATCTATTTTGCTATAGATTTTTCCTTACAATATTTTAATCAGAAATCCAATTTTTACTTGAAGTCTATATATTTTTTTTTTAACTGATTTCTACATTTCGTGCAAATCATCTTCTTCCATATTGTGTAATATTATTTTTAAATAAGAAGCATGAAAATATTTATTAACATAATTTATGAGATACACATATTTATAAATTGTAATATACTAATTTTTCTAAGCTCTATTATACACACAAATTGTATTATGTTAAATATTAATTATATTTAAATCCATTAATTTTAATTTTGTTTTTATAATCTGTATGTTAAAATATTTGGGTCAAATTACTCATCCATATTATTCATTCACTATTTTTATATTTAATTAAAGTTTTATATATTTATAAGATTCATTTATGTGATAGAAATATGTTATAAATAAATAATTTTTATTTATAAATAATAGATTAATTGATTCAAGTAAGACCTGTAATTTTGGCTCAAGAAAAGTTTTTCTATGACTCGATTATTTGATGTATAAAGTTTAGTTATATAATATTTTGGTAAGAAATGTTAATTATATAAAATATTTTGTAATATTTTATAAATAAAAGTTTATTTATGTAAATATTTACTCAAAATAAAATATGGAGATAGATATATGATAATATGTGTGGAACGCTTGTTTTAACTTTTAAGCGATTGAATTGAGGGTTTGATTGATAATTTTGTGGAATGGCGGAATTGCGAAAAAAATCTTGCAGAATAGATTAAGCGACTTATAAGTCGCTTTTCTGCGGAATGACTTTTCTTTTGTATTTTTGTTAAGCAAAAACGCAAACCTTTTTATATGTATTTTTTCATTACGCAGATTTTTGTTGATTGGCAAAAAATTTGCGGAATTATGTTTAAAAATGCAATTCCGCCATTCTGTAGGTTACCAATCAGAGCCTGAAAGAGTCTGCGGAGTGATTGAAAATAACCGACCTATATTTGAAACATATATATGTTTCATCCAAAATTTGTTAAATCAATTAACCTTTTTAGGGTTTCTGTAACAATTTTGCGAGAAAGTCTCGAATTCTCTCCGTCGAAGTCGAACCATGGACAAACTCAAGATGGCATATGACCCCGGTAAGATCTCTCTCTCCATCTCTTACCCGAAATTGTTTGTTATAGATTTCATCTGATGGATCCTCTCTGTCGTCATAGTTAACTTGGCCGGATCTAGCTAATTGATAAAATAAGTGGTTAGTTAAAGGATCTTTATATTTCGTAATTCGTTTATATGCCTGGTTTTGTCAAAGATAATATTACATACGTCTTATGGAACTTGGAGGATTACCCAGTCTCTGATGGTGCCGATCTTGGCTCTATTCGTCGTAATATCGAAGAAGCTCTTGATCTAATGGGCATTCATGGAAGCATGGATATCCTGGCGTTTGGTGACCAACTGAAGTCCCCTAGAGCTGAGTTGTCGGAGCTCGGAATCGACAACTTTTTACCAGAACGTGAGTTCATCCTAAACTCTTAATCTCCATCCTAATTTTTTTTTTTTTATTTGTACAAAAACATGTTGGTGATTTATACTTATAAATAAATCGATGACAATTCGGGTGCCTGTTGGCTATAATATATATATAGCTTTATCGGGTAACAATTCGGCAGCCTTCAAACTGCCTGCGCAAATGATTGGTTGCTCTGGTGAAGGATCAAGAGTTTGGGTAATCGCAAAACAACAAGGCCCAGGAAGTGAGTTGTACAGGGTTCAGCAGTGTTTGGCATCGAGAAACTACACTATTCTCGTAATAGATGACGACGACACCACAGGAGTAAGTCCAGTTGATTCTGTACAATCACTATTTAAACGTACACGATCTTTTGGTGGAGGAAAGCCCCAAGAAGTCGGCTTATATTGATGAGAATACCGAGTCTAAGTGGGCTGAGTGTCTGGGGCGTAACAAGACGTGGGAATCCAGAATCTACTTCCTTCCCGGAGGTGTGAATATATTTTTTTTTTACTTTTTTTTTTTACATGTGTGTATGCATGTAATCTTGTATATCTATTTTGCAGGGGCCTCGAGACGTAATAGAATGTTAAACGACATGCTTTTATTGTATAGCGATTTTGATCATCAGGGCCTTCAGCCTACAAATTGGATGGTAGTCTCAGCTCAATTCAGAGAGAGCCAGTTCTTTGCGGTTGGCTTTACCATTTGAATTGGACCGTCTTGCACGATGTTATCATGTTTAATCCGAATCGGGTGGGCATCAATCCAGAAACCTCTGAATGGCTAGGATTGCTATTTGTTCAAGTAGAAACTGTTGAACGCCCACGAAGCAAATTGGTTGTTGATGATTGCCCTGCAGGAAGCGAAAGCTCAGAACCTTGTCCCAAAAAGCATAAACTGGATGCTGCGGAGTCGGGATCGCCAGAGCTGATGCTCTCTGATTATGTGGACTAGCTGCTTCTGTGTTGTAGCCGGTGGTTGTAAAAGGGAGAGTAAAAAAAGTTACTTTAGAAAATGGTAAGCTCATAGGAGAGTAACAATATCTTCTCACATAGTAGAACTACCCCAATAGCAGAATGTGCCTTCTTGTAATTAGAAAGACAAAATGTGTCTTTTTCTGTAATTATTTCTGAATTACATTAAAAAACACTTTCTCCAGTTTATATAACAAAAAAAAAGACACTTGTTGTTTTTTTTTTTCCGCTACTCAACTATTACAATCACATTTGGTCTATCATAGAGAAGTGGTTTGTGAACTATATTCGACCGGCTCGTTATGATCGATTTGGGAAAAAATAACTCCTCTTGCTCGAGCTCCTTTTGCAAGACTATCTGTCCGGAGATTTTGAATTCTCGGAATATAGGATAAGGTAAACTCTGAGAAGCTCTCGCGAAGTATACAAAAGGATTCTAATTCTGTCATAAAGGACGGCCAATCTGCTGGTGATTCACACATGCTCACAAGGTCCGAACAGTCGGTCTGAAAATGCACCAAAGTCATCTGTCTTTCTCTCAGGCATGACATAGCCCATAAGAGGCAATCCATCTCGGCGTGAAGAGCCGAGAGGCTTCTACGATATCCATGTAAACCAAACATCTCAATTTCTCTGCCATCCTTAAAACTCCAACCAAGGCTGCTAACCTGTCCGTGATTGATCCAAGAAGCATCAATCCGGCATATCGGGGTCTGCGGTACCTCGGGTAGTGATATCGGGGCCGGAGGGGGGGCCAACGCCTCAACGTGAGCATCATCATCATCTTCAGGTTGGTTTGCTAAACTCCAACTTTCTGCTTCCACCTTTGCGTGGATCAAGGTGTCTTCCGGAGAAAATTCTTTCCATTGAAGATTTTCTCGTTCCTTGCTTTCCAAATAAACCATAGGATCCAAGGATATACATCCTTTCGATGATCTGTCATGTCTTACTCTTTTGTTCTCCAAAAGAGAAAACTCATATTTTGATAAATAGAGGTACTCGGGAAGACACCCGGAAAGGACGGAAAGTCCGATAACGCCCAAACTTGTAAGGCCGGGGGACATAAAAACAGTAGATGGTTTATAGACTCCTCAGGATCCCCACAACGAAGGCAGCGTTTGTCTGAACCCATATGTCGGTAAGTGAGGTTCTGACATGTAGCAACGCACCCTAATAAAGATTGCCACATAAAGTGTTTCATCTTTCCAGGTGTACGGACTTTCCAAACATGTTGTTGTAGGGCCGTGATACTCGGTTCTCTCATCGCTCCAGCTTTCCGTTCTAACTTCGTCCTTCGAATCAGATCATATCCCGACTTAACTGAATAAAGTCCCGATTTGGAATGATTCCATGCGTATCTATCCAAGGTACGGGTACGACTAGGTCTCAACCCGAGGATAAGGAAGACATCCTCAGGTTGGAAAAATTTTCTAAGTAGGGGAACATCCCATTGCTTTGTATCTTGACGGATGAAAGAGTATACCAAAATACCTGGGTCCCAGAATCCGATCTGCGGAGCGGCTCTTGGTGGCCGAGCTCTAAGATCCGGGATCCACGATTCGCTCCAAACTCTTGTATTTAAACCCGATCCAATCGTCTTCCTCAAGCCTATCTTCAAGAACGGTTTTGCGGCCATTATACTCCGCCACCCATAGGATGGTGAGTAGACATTTCGGTCCTCTAGAGGATCAGATTGTCTGTAGTATCTGCCTCTTAAAACCCGAGCCAAGAGGGATGAAGGATACTGAATAAGTCGCCATAGCTGTTTAGCTAGAAGGGCTAGGTTAAAGTCTTGTAAATCTCTAAATTCAAGGCATCCCATATCTTGGGGAATGCAGATTTTATCCCAAGCAATCCAGTGTATCCCGCTGCTATTCTGCTTTGAACTCCACCAAAAATTGGCTATAGCACTCCGTAGTTTATCTGTCACTCCTTGGGGTAATAGCAAACATGACATGACATAGGTTGGAACCGCTTGTGCGACTGATTTTATTTGAATTTCTTTTCCACCTTTGGAAAGAAGTCTTGCAGACCAATTATTGACTCGGTTACTTAGGCGGTCATGAACATAAGAAAACACTTTCCTCTTTGATCCACAAATTTGTTCTGGAAGGCCCAAATACATACCCATGCCGCCCTCCGATGAAATTCTGATGGCATTCTTGATACCTTGCTTCAAAAATTGGTCCACTCTATTCCCGAACATGATGGATGATTTTCCAAGATTAAGTTGTTGTCCCGAGGCTGATCCATAGGTATTAATAATCCTGAAAATCTCAGCTCCCTGCCGGATATCCGCTCTACAAAAGAAAAGGCTATCATCGGCAAAAAGAATGTGTGAAACCGGTGGACTCGCTTGAGCTACTTTCAGCCCAGAAATACGTTTTTCCTCCTATACTCCATTGAGTAGTGAGATTAGAGCCTCAGTACACAGAATAAAGAGAAAGGGAGAGAGAGGATCTCCTTGGCGCAATCCTCTCGATGGAATGATTTTTCCCTTCGGTTCTCCATTTATAAGGACTTGGTATGAGACCGAGGAAATGCAAAACATCAAGAGTCTGACCCATCTCTCAGAGAATCCTAGCTTGATCATAAGGGCTTCAAGGAAGCTCCATTCTACCCGATCATATGCTTTACTCATGTCTGTCTTGATAGCCATGAATTCTTCTCTACAAACGGTATTAGTACGGAGGGCATGAAAGTTTTCTTATGCCAACAGAATATTGTCTGTAATAAGACGCCTAGCCATGAAGGCCGATTGAGTTTCCGAGATAAGGTTTGGTAGGGTCTTCTTTAGTCTTTTGCACAAAAGCTTAGAAATAATCTTATAGCTTACATTGCAAAGGCTAATCGGTCGGAATTCTGTCATTGCTCTTGGCTTATCTTTTTTAGGGATAAGGCATATATTTGTCTGGTTAAGTCTAGGATCAAAGGATCCCGAGATGAAAAAATCTTTCACCAATTTAACTATGTCATGGTAGAAATCCTGCCAGAATTTTTGATAGAATTTACTCGTCATCCCATCAGGACCGGGGGCTTTGTCAGGGTTAAAATATCAAAAAGGGCTTCCCTAATCTTTGCTTCCGAGGGCTCCAAAAGCAAAAGCTGGTTAGAGGTATCTGTAACTTTTTCGGTAATATACCGGAGCGCATTTTCTGGGTCTAAAGGCTATGACGAGGTGAATAGATCTTGGAAATATTGGGTCGCCACACGTTCAATACCTTTCGCATTCTCCACCCATTTTCCATCGTTATCCTTGAGGGGGATGATCCGGTTGCGACTTCTTCGTTGTTTAGTGAGAGCATGGAAGAACTTTGTGTTTTTATCCCCTTGTGCCATCGCTCGCGGCTTTTTTGCTGCCAGTAGATTTCTTCTTCCCAGAAAGCTTCACAAAGTTTTCTCCTGATTTCTTCTATTTCCTCTGTCGTTGTGTTTTCATCATCTTGAGCTGCATCAAGTTGATTTTTTAATTTCTCAATCAACTTCTCCGAGTTTGTTGGGAGAGATTTCTTCCATTTGGAGATGCTCCTGCGAAAGACACTTGTTGCTATTGGGACATTTTCTCTACTTTTTCTCTGTGTGAAAATCCAGCAATACCCCTCCTTAAACTTGATGCTTTACCCCCATTTTTTGCCTCTCGGTAAAAATTATCTCTGCTTTTAGTAAATCTGGGTTCAGTTATGTCGGGATTGAAATTTCTGTCCACAATTTCTTGGCCGAGAAATACATATCCATGACTTACAAAAAGCTAAACAAAAAAACATAAGCTGTACTGGCCTTTATACCAAACTGATGTCTGAGATTGCTGCAGCACCCCATGTCATAGTCATCAACACAAAGAACATGTTCACCATATTGTATCCATAAAAAAATATCCACGAAACCTTTTCAGTTTGATTTCGACCATTTGATTAAATGAATCCCAGCCTAATTGGATATTTTCAACTTAGTAACGTAATACCGCAGTAAGGTAACCATAACTTCTTATCAGGCCATGAGCAAATACTAGGAGTTGTTTCATTCTCAGAAATCTTTGTGTAACACGAGAATAACATGAGAAGAATGGATACTTCTCTTTGGAAGCAGTGTCATAATTAAAACAAAGAGTAGAATTTTGAACTCATTTAAGCAAAAAGATCTCCTCAGAAAATCATAAACTGTCTTCTAAAAAACAAAATCTTATTTTGCATACCCATAGCTTAAATTAAAAAAAAATTCACAATTGGATCTACTTTTTCTAATTGGTAAATTCCTATCCGAAATTGAAAATATTCCAAGGATTAGAACAAAACAGAGACATGAATCGATCATAATAATACAATTAGATTGGATTGAGGAGAAACAGTAATTAAAAGAGAAGATTACGGGAGAAGATGTAGCTGAAAGAATCTCCATTAGTGATTTTTAATATTGTTGGCAGCTGTGCCGGAGGTTTCTTTACAAAACAGAGGTTTATCGTCGGTTGATGTTGTGGCTTCTTTCATATTTAAATTACAGGCATCGATAGATTTTTACAGTAAAAGGGAGAGTAAAAAAAGTTACTTTAGAAAATGGTAAGCTCATAGGAGAGTAACAATGTGTTCTCACCTTTTCTTGTAATTAGAAAGACAAAATGTGTCTTTCTCTGTAATTATTTCTTTTAATAGAGAGACTTATTTGATTTGATGTCCATCACAAATTTATTTATTTCTTGATACAAAACGATGCCGCTTCTTTTGTTTATCGTCTCTTTTGGCCAAGGCGTAGAAATTGGGGAATGAGTTCAATTTTTTTTGTCAAGAGATGATAAATAAAATGAATCTCCATCGTCCTTGGAGATATGCGTATCGATTCTTCACGTTTCCATCGAAGCTCTGGGCGACTCGAGAATCAGGATAGAACTCGAGCGTTCTTGCTTTGCTTTGTTTCCGTACATTAGAGCTACTCCAGTTAAAATCACACCAACCTTAAGGATGATTGTGTGTCCTGATCCGAAGAGGCACAGAATCCGTTAGGCTGATGATTTTAGCCATTGAATATTGATGTAAAAAACCAACACCGCACCGTACAGTAGTGGTCAGACGTCAGAGTTTCCTCCGCATCACCAAAGTTTCTAACAAATAGCAAAACAAAAAACAGGGACTCTAATGATATAACCAGACATTCACGATCAAATTAGCGAGGAGGACCCGTATGCAAAAGCTCAAACGCGTACCCAATGTGTGACTCGAGCTGCCCGAGAGCAAATGTGGCTGCCAATGAGACTGCCTTCAAATTCATGTTGCAAGAACAAATAGATTCTTTGGTGTCCCGTCACTCCTTGAATTGCCTTTTCATACTTCTCCTTTGCTATTTCAAAGTTTCCGGTGGCGTGCAGATTTTTCACCATAAGAAAGTGCGATGCTACCTGTTTTTATGTAGTTAATAAGAGGTCCTAACAAATTTTATGTAGAAAAGACAGGGCTAACTCCAGAATAGCAAGAGATATACTAGTGTGTACCTTTACAGATCTCATGATTCTCTCAAGTCCTCCAAATAAAGATTCGGCTGCACACACACAGAAAAAAAGACCTTACCATTAAGCTATACAAACAAACTTATGGAATAAAAACACAGAAAAGGAAGATTGAGGCTTGTTTCTCTACCGGATTCGATACTTCCTTTCACAAGCTCAGCGAGGCCTTTGATCGTTTTGGCTGTAGCACCCACATCCTGAAATTTTTAAACAATAAAAGTTTATCAAAAGAAACTTAAACTTTCGATTGAGAAAAAAAAACATAAAAGAAAGAGAGTAAAAGAAAAAAATGAAACCTTTCGATAATAGATCAGACATAGCAAGCAAGGCTGTTGCTTTGGAATCTTGAGAAACCTGATCATCGTTCGGTTAATTCCTAAGGCGTTGTTCAAGCCCTAGCATCCCTTGAGCATAAGATTCATCTGAAAACTCCGATGATCCTAAAAACCTGATTTTTGTGACCTAGCGAACGTAATCAACCATCTGAATAGCAACATGATTCGCGTTTGGAACGCTGAGTTCACCGTCAATCAATTTCAACAGCATCGAGTATCGAAAAAGGATGCTTCTAACGGAGCTCGTGCGACCACGAATCGTTGCCTCTGCTGCTCTTGAACATCTTGCAGCCGCGCGAATCATAATCGCTCGGTTTATGTAAGCTTCTGCTGCCTTTGGGCCTCGAGAAACTTGGGACGTGGGAGTCTGTTCCTCGCCGTGAGTCAGTAAGGGTGACCAATTTTCAATCGATTTGCCAAATGATTTTGACGGTTTAATAGTTTGAGTTTGGTTTGGATTAATTGGGCTGGTCTTCTGATAACCAATAAAACAATCCAAAAACTGCCTTTAATCATCATGAATAGTCAATCAGTATTATCTCTGGTAATGTGATTTTTATTCCTTTTTTTTCTAACATCGTCATTTTTATTATTCTTTTTTTCTTTTGACAAAATTTGCTACTGCATATGTATTATCCTGGTACGTAACAAACAAATATAACCTTACTCTTCTTTTATTTTTTTTTATCAATACTAGAAAACAAACCCATGGACAATTAAACTCTTTATCAAAAATAAACTGTATAATAATATTGGGTTTAACGCAAAAAAAAACTCATCAACTTTATTTTTTTTTGTAAGATTAACCTTCACCTTAAAAAAATGCAAGTCAATTCCATTATTTCAAATACCGTGAAATAGTTGTTATATCGATCATAATTTTTAAAACACAGCGTTTTGATTATAATAATTTTAAAAATTCATGTCATTATTTTCATAGTTCAAGATTAATATTCCTTCTGTTCAAAAATAATGATTTTTAGAAAGTTTTTTTTCAAAATTATTTGATGTTCTTACTTTTCAATATAAATTTAATAAATTTTTATTATTTTTGATTTTTTATATTTTGCAGAGTGTTTTTTTATCCGAATATCTTAAAAAAATCCAGATATCCAACTCCATTTCAGGCCTAATGTCAAATATACATAAGATAATCATGCTCAGATCAGATAACCCGGCTGTTTATGATCGCACAGTATATATGATGAGCTTTCAAATGTTTTGCACATTTCATTTTATTATACGCAAAGCTCCATTAATTGGTAGTTCTATCTTTAAACTGACTCTTACCAAATAATCGATTATTCCTTGACGCATTATCCTTAAAGAGAACAAGAATTTTCAGGATTTAATTAAGGATTAATGGGCGAAGCTCCACTTCTTTTATATAAATTTTAAAGAGAACAAGAATGTTCATATATAAATATAAAAGATTTGTTGCATTGTTCGCCAGAGAATCGAAGAAAAAGTTGCAACAAATGTTAACATTTTTTATTGAGTTTTAGTGTTGATATCCAAGTGAGAAATTTGTGATATATATTCTCAGCTTTTAATCTATCGTTAAATTCTCAATGAACTCAAACTCGGTTTACTAACTTATGCTTTTTATTTTGCCACTCAAATCATAAACAAATCACTTCAATATTTTCCGCGGTCTTAGAGAATCTTTCAGCTGATACCGTCAAAAGCTTGTTAAGAGACGTGTTCCACACCGAAAAGTTATCTTGTTAACCCGGAGGTTCCATCTAAGTCTAAAACGGAGGTTCCTTCTAAGTCCAAACCGAATGGTTCTCTAGTTACCAACCGGTTTTATTTATGATCTATAACCTTGGATCGGACTCGCTCGGTCATCTTCACCCTTTTGTTGCAATACACTCCCCATTACTTAATGAGCTTATAAAGTAATTATATGGTGAGTTTTCAAGTGTCTTGTTCATTATAATTATCGTATGCAAATGCAAGGACCAAGGTGAACCCTTTTTTTAGTGGTGAACTGGTTGTCTGGTTAGGTTATTCTCGTTTTTAGTTCATAATGATCTGCTTTTTATTAGAGACCAAATTAAGGTTGGTGAGCTTTCAAGTGTGTTGCTTCAAGAAATAATCTATTTTGGTAAGAGTCCGTGTGAAGATAAGTTTTTCGTTTCTTAAAGGGGCTGAGTCTTCCTTTCTTGCGAAGGAAGGAATAAGAAGTCTCTTCTGAAGAGACAAAAAGAGCTATCACATTATAGCTCTCTTTATAAGTTATAAAAGAAACGTATTGGGCAAAGAGAAGAACCTAGGTTTATATACTCTTCTATATCAGATTGACCAGGAACTATGTTAAAAAGAGTACAAGATTCGCAAACACCAAAAAAAAAAAATGGATAAAAAAGGAAACCTGTCAGACCGCTGTGCGACCACTCCGGCTAGGGTTAAACCGAGCCGAGTAACAATCCTCTACAGCACCGGATGCATCTGAAAGATGATCTTGGCCGTTAATCACGCTCTAATCGTATGGTCATAGTTCATCCACCAGGGTTTAAGGGACTGTATCCTTAGTTCATCCACCAGGGTTTAAGGGACTGTCTCCTTAGAAATCAAGGATACAGAGGTACGAACCTATAGACAAGATTATGTTCAAGTAAGGTCGTGACCAATGTTGCTCTCTCTACGTTATATATTCAGCGATATGGTTTTTCAAAGTAACGATGTGGGATGATTCCTTATCACAAAGAAATTATACATTATATGGGTTTGTTACTTTGTTTTACTTATTATTATATACTTAAAGCCCATCTCCATCTACTCAACAGTTGTATGATACGCTTTCCTTGTATCATGAGTCCTGACGACAACTTTTTTTTTCCGATAAGTATTTGTTTGGCTTTTTAATACGTGGGACAAACCAAATCTACATCTGTGTCAAATATACACAAGATGATCCTGCTTAATTACCAACCCATGGAAACTGGATTAAACAAAAGCTGTAACAGAGTTGAATCATATGAACAAAACAAAGAGAGAACAGGAATTTTCATATATATAAAAGGTAGTGAAAAGATTTATTGCATTGTTCATCAATGAATCGAAGCACAAGTTGCAACAAGAGTTGGTGGTGAGAGGAATTGCTATGTAACATTTTTGATTAAGTTTGATTAAGTATTAATGTTGATATCCAAGTGAGATATTTATGATATATATCATAAACTCTCAGCTTTTTAAACTATTCAGTTCTCAATGAACTCAAACTCGGTTCACTAACTTTGTTTCTTTTGCCACTCAAATCATAAACAAATCACTTCAATATTTTCCGCGGTCTGGGAGAATCTTTCAGCTGATACAGTCAAAAGCTTGTTAAGAGACATGTTCTCACCTCTGCTCTTCAACTTTTCTTCATAACGGTGCTTGATCCTGCTATCAAGCTTGTATCCAAGAAACGCAGGGAAAGCCAAAAGCTCTTCGACTTCACGACCCATGTACTCAATCAAATACTCCAGTTTTTCCTCTAAAGAACTATGATTATACTGCAGAACTTGAGGATGCTTTGTGCTCATAGCTAGAATGTCTTCAAAGGAAAGACCGTAACTCAAGTACAACCCAATGACCCTCTGCATATTGTCAGAGCTCGTTCTGGTCACAGCTCCCATCGCAAAGGCCAGTTCCTTTGTTCTATGTTTGTATCCAATCTTCACCAGCAACCCGAGTTTGTGCGAGAGATTATCTTCAGATAGAGCTAGAAACAACGGTGCTTTACTCAAGAATTTGAAGATGCCTGGGGAATCAAAGCCGCAATCTTTCAAAAACTCTAACCTGGGACGAAGTTTCCTCTCTTTACTGGTGCTGATCACGTTAGGGAACACATGAACAATCTTAAACACTTGTTCACTTGTCAAGCCTGCAAAAGACTTGAGGAACTCGACGTGGCTGTTCATATGGTCAACACTGTAACTCAATATGGCAGGGAGTCTACGAAGTACGGTCCCAGTGGCGAAATCGTCTTCCCCGCTAAGATTCCTGATGAATTCAACCCTGGGAATCAACTGAGAATCCAAGTCACTGTTGAGAATGACTGGCCGCCTGGCGATTATACCGATCCCACCAAAAGGTTCCAAGAAACTAATCAATCTCTCAATGTCTTCAACTGATTTCTGATACAGCAGTTTGTTCAGGTACACTTTGCTCAATACGTGCGAGATCTTTTCTTTTGGTATCCCATGGTGGATAAGCAATCTCACCTTCTGATTGAAACTAAGCAAGAAGGATGTGTCTACCACAGCGAGTAGACGCTCCACTAGTTCAGGCTCGAGCCTTCCTTCGAGTTCATCAACCAAGAATGTGATAACGAGGTCGAATTCTTCTGAGGTCAATAAATTAGGGCACTTTGCAATCAAACCCTGAAGCGCGAAGCCATCGAGTTTCAGAGACTGAAGAGAAGCAATACGAGCACCGATTTTATCCAAAGAAGTCGACTTTACATCTGGGTTCTTCGCTATAATCATCTCTGTTTCCTCTTCCCTAAACCCAAAAGCTCGGAATAAAGAAAACAGAGTCTCTGCAAAGGAAGAAGAATGCAGCAGGAACTGATAAAACGCACAACAAGTGTTTGCGAATATGCTTCACAGAAAGAAATTGACAGAGAAATAACAAATTAACTTACCCATTTGACTTCTACATTCAATCGGAGAACTAAGGCAATTACATCGGAAAATGAGACCTGTTTCCCGACGATCTAAGCAGCTGAAAAGCAATGGACGTAGCTCAGCCTGAAATGTGGAAACGGGGAAGCTTCCATGGGAACAGAGAGATGTGACCGGCGGGATATGAAGCCGGAGACTAATCGGCGGTGAGAAAAGGGAAACGGAACAAGAGACGAGGGATAAAATCACCATGGCAATATCCGAAACCAAGGTTCCAGATTTAACGGTCTTGTTTGATTCCAGATGGGTTTTGATCAGATTCAAGGGTTTAACTTCGATATCCAGAGATGTACAAACACATTGTTAAATGGTATTGGGCCTCGAGATAACAAGTCCACTAATGTTTACCTTTTAATATTTATCATCTCTAAATTGCAAAAAAAAAAAAAAATTGGATCTGCCCTACGTTGTCTATAATCATGTCATCATGTGTGTAACAAAATTGAAATAATCATGTGTGTAACAAAATTGAAATAGATGAAAAGATTGTGAAAATAAGGATGTGTTTTGGATTTTCGTTTACAGCAAGATATTTTTATTCACTAATAGAAAATTAATTACACACGCAGACAAATGAGAAAAAAATCATATTTGGGGTATTACTCCAAAGAAATATGCATTACTCCAACCAAACCAGCTCGAATTAAAAGAACTTTTTTTTTCTTTTGAGCTAAGTATGTAAGTCAAGTCAAAGTGTCAAGTAATTCTGATGGAAAGGCTTATTATTGTTCTGGACAAACGATGATACAAATTAATAAAAAAAAAAATTAGAAATTATAGACAGTGATAATGATAACTAAACCTTTAGAAAATATTTTTTTAATAAACATGAGAAAATATATTGTCAAATATGAAAGATCCAGTAAATTTTCATTTTCCTCTACAAAGATACACTGACTTAATTCGAAATTTCTTTGATCAAACGTGGTAAATGAAATAGATGCGTTTAATGCCAGTGAACAAATTTACATCATAGTCAAGTCTTCCAAAAGAAGAAGAAAAGGTCAAAAACTTTGTACTACGGGTTTTGATTTCACACACTTACATAAGGTTGGGACATTAAATTATTCGTTAAAATAACGTTATGGTATCAATGAAAGAAAAAAGGCCTAGATAAACCCCACAATTTAATTGAGTAAAGGAAAAATAAAACCTAAAGGAAGTAAATTTAGGAAATTAGAAATGGTCCGTAATGGACGGTGGTCGTCGTTTCATACTCTCCGTCCACCATTTGATTTATCCTCTTCTAAAAACACATGGCTTTCAAGCTCCATCAATGGCTGTTTAGCTTGAGAAAGAAAAAAAACGCGATTCTCTATATTAACGTATACAACAATAACCCTTTTTTACCATAAGTTTCTTCCGCTTCTTCTCACCACTCGTATCCCTTTCATATATTTTTCTCTGTCGTCTTCCTCTCACCGCCTCTCGCTCGTGATTTTTGTATTTATCCAACAAAGATTCGATTTTTAAGCCATACCCTTTTTCTCGTTCCTCGATTCGAGTGTTTCTCTTCCTCTTTTTTGACTTATGGATTTGCTTGTGAGCATAATCTTAGGGCTAATCGTGGGATGGTTAGCTTTCGTTGTTGGATTGATCATTGGATGGGCATGGAAACCGAGATGGGTTTCTTCTTCTTCTTCTAATAACCTCAAAGTCAAATTACAATGTTCTGCTCCGAGATCCTTTGATTTGTCTTTACCATCATCTCCTTCTCCTCGTTCTGCAACTTCTCCGTTAAAGGGTTTTGGTTCAGCTCCTTGCTTAAAGGCTCTTGTTTGTGATACATGGACTATGGCTTTAAGACAACAGAAAACCATTTCTCCTGTTTCTTCGTCATCATCGTGTGATTCTTCTGACCATGTAGATGTAATTGCTGGGTAAGCTTTAAATTTGAGGATGATTTACTCTTGTTTTAAGGAAAAGCTTCTTTTTTTGCTTTTGCTAATTTTGTTTTTTTGTTTTTTGAAGAGGGAAGAAAACAGAGGAGAGGTTGCCTAATACTGTAACGGAGTTAGATTTGAGACATCTTGTGCAATTGGTTGAGAGGAAAGATGGTGGTCAAGCTTGGATTCAGATTATGGATCGTTTCACTCCTGGAATGAGATATCAAGCTTGGTTAAGAGAACCTAAAGTAAACACTTGTTCTTTGGTTTTGAGTTTGAGAGAGAGAGAGATTTCTCTTGGTCTTGAATCTTTATGGATGCATTTCTCACTATATTTTGTGTTTTGTGTTTTTTTTAGAGTGGTCCTACTGAGTATAGAAGCAGAACTGTGTTTGAGGATGCAACTCCTGAGGTTTTAAGAGATTTTTTCTGGGATGATGAGTTTAGACCAACTTGGGATACAATGCTTTCTAATTCCACCACTGTTGAAGAGTGTCCAACTACTGGAACCATGATTGTTAGATGGATACGCAAGGTAGTCTCTACTTGCTTTGCTTTTTGTTTTGTTACTGTGACTATTGATTGTTTCTCGCTGTGATTTTGTTTGTTGACTTTATTTTTTTATTTGTTGCAGTTCCCGTTCTTCTGTAGTGATAGAGAGTATGTGATCGGTCGCAGGATATGGAACTGTGGCAATTCTTACTACTGTGTTACAAAGGTAAGTACTGAGCAACAAAAATGGAATTTGTTACATTGATGTGACTAAGAGTTTAAGTGAGACTATGTCGGCTAGTTTTTCTGCATAGGATTGCGATTGAATTGCCAACTTAGCATAAGTTAATCTCTAAATCTGAATGATGTAGTTGTGATGTTGGATTCATAAATCAAAGTCTTTAGAAGAGGAAAAGATTCAATCTTTTTGTGCTCCTTGTTTGCATTTGGAAAGAATCTAAGAGCGTCTCTCGTTATTGCTTCAGGGAGTATCAGTTCCTTCTATACCGCGCAACAACAAACAAAAACGTGTGGAATTGTTCTACTCGAGCTGGTGCATTCGACCAGGTAAAAAATCCACATCTAAACCCTTTCCTGATTATCCAAGAACCGAAACAACTTAAACAAACTGAAATATCAACCCTTCTATGCAGTTGAGTCAAGAAGAGAAGATGGAGTAACAAGTGCCTGCGAAGTTCTTCTATTTCACCACGAAGACATGGGGATACCAAGAGAAATCGCAAAGCTCGGAGTGAAACGAGGGATGTGGGGAGCGGTTAAGAAGATGGAGCCCGGTTTACGCGCTTACCAAGAGCAAAGACTCTCAGGAGGAGAATCCAAGCTTTCTCGGCCAGCTTTAATGGCTCAGATCAACACCAAGATCACATCAGAACATCTCATCTCGCTCAGCAACGGTGCATCGCCTGTCGCTGAAACTGCGGTTACATTGGACCGAGGAAACCATGCTGCGAATCTGAAGAAACTGTTGATTCTTGGTGGAGCAGTAGCGGTTGTTTGCACTTTGAGCGGAGGGGGTTTTGCTCCTCCGGCGTTTCTTTTAGGGTTTGGGAAGAAGTTTGTTAATGGTGGGAGAAAACGTCAGCCACAAGGAACAGCAACAACAACAACTCAAAGTCAAACTACGTCTCCATAGATTCGTTTTTAGTAGATTGAGAACAATTCAAGAACGCAGATAATTCTAGATTAGTTTGTAGAATTTGAATAAGCTGTTTGATTAATCTTTATACAAAAGGAGATAATTTTTTACAAGTAATCAATAAAAATCTGATAAAAGTATTAATCTTTTTGGGGTTTATGATTATCAAAAAGGAAGAATTGTTTCGAAACAATGAACACCGTCGAGTTCTGGAGCTATCCTCATCGGCTGAATCTTCTCCTTCTTATTATTATTGTTCTTTTCAAAGTCTGATGAAATCGGAGTTTTACCGGAATTCTTTTTCTGTTCCGTCGCCGGAGACTGGTTTTCGCCGGAGCTCTGTTTCTGGCCGCCTGCGAATTTCGTCTTGAAGCCGTTGGATTCAGCGTAAAGAGCATCGAAGGGGCTAAAAATCGACATCATCTTCGAATTCTACTTCTGTCTTGATCGAATTTCTTCTAGCTTTTATGAAATTTGAAATTTTTGTTTCTTGACGAAATGAAGAAGATGGATTGGTATAAATACATATAATCGGGAAAGAGAGAAGGGATACTAGAAAAGTCTAGAAAGAGTAAGAGAAGTTTGACAAGTTTTGAGTTTGATGAAGATTCCATTCAATGAAACTGGTTTTGGTCGGTGAACGAACAGAGTACACGTGGAATATTGTCTGTGAATGTGATTGATTGTATGATTGTATCAGATAAGGTTTTTCATTCAATAATAGAGATCTCTCAATAGTAATCTCATTATTTTATTTTACTTTAGTTACATAATTTTCCAAGAAACAAAAAAAAAAAGGTACACAATATCAATGCAAACTCTAAACCAATTTCTTAACAAAACCATTATTAAACATCATAGTTTAACAACAAAGGTGGGTGAAGTAGACGTAGACACATGAGAATAATGTTTGGACTTCATTTTTGTTTTCCTAGATCTTCTTGAGCAATTCAATGATGTAAACACCAAAGGCGTTGCAAACAACTTTGATGCCTTTGAAGCCTGATCCTTTGGCTAATGCCTCAAACTCTTTCTCAGTTCGTTCTTTGCCTCCGGGATTGTGAGCCAACATGATGCAGTCAACATGGACCACTTGTTTGGTCGAGAGGCTCGAGTCTGGTGTCTCTGGAAGTATACACTCAGCCAATATCACTTTTCCATCTTCTGGAAGCGCCTCGTAGCAGTTTTTCAAGAACTTCACGCAGTGTTCATCGCTCCAATCGTGGCATATCCACTGTTACAGCAATGAGAAAGAATCGAACGAAAATGTTTTGAGATTCATTTCCTTGATAAATTACTTATAATGTCATGACTTTTCGGTATAGGAGCTTTGATTATAGCTTATAACTAACCTTCATGAAAATAGCATCACCTTTGGGGACACTAACAAACATATCTCCTCCAACATGCTCAATACCTACATTTTTCAACAACAACCAAATATCTCAATTATATGTGAAAGAAAAGTTTAGAATTTGTAGAATGCCGGGAAAATGTTATATAATTATATACCCGGATGAGAAGTAGCTTCTTCGATGACATGTGGGAGATCAAAGTTGATGCCTTTAAGGTTAGGGTACTTAGAGAGAATCATTTTGAGAGTAGCACCAATGCCACCACCAACATCAACCAAAGAAGTCAATCCTTCAAAACCCTTGTAGGTCTCGAGAATCTTCTTCATGGTGATGGTTGAATGGTTAGACATTCCATTGTTGAAGACAGTGTTGAATCTAAGGTCCTTCCCGTGGTACTCGAACGCGCTCATTCCATAAGCCTTGTTGAATGGAATCCCACCATCAAGAATTGCATCTTTCAAATGGTACCTGAAACAAGTCTCGTTGGCATGAGTTTAAGCAAAACACACACACCATTTTTAAGCTTAACCTAACCCTATAATCGTATCTGTTTTCTTTTAAATTCAAACCCTCAACTTTTGGTTAACACTAATTAGGAAGGATAATCTGTTTTGAAATGGATCTCAAGATTGTTACATTTGAACTCTATTTTATCATCAGACTAGATCCATGTCAAGTTTATAATTGGTTAGTTGATAAAGAGCCAAAACCAAATCCAGAGATTAGTAAGTTTCTATTTTCTTTACTTGCTGCTCAGTAATCCGAAGACCGAATCTCTTAGTTCCTATTCTACTACTCCTAATATTGTTACTCAATAAAGGGAAGAACGATTCAATCTTCTCTATTTTTAGCCATGAAAAAAAAAAAGATATATAAAGAGAGAGTTTTCTCCGCTAATAATTTTTTTTATAATGGAATTTTCTCCTTGTCAATTATATAGTTATGGCTTAGTAAATAGTAACAAACAAAACTTCCAACTATAACCACTAAAAAAACTCGTAATATAATATTGTTTCTTAGTGGACAGAAAGGTATAGAAAACGTGTCAAAACTGCATCATTTTGTCTGATTGTCTTTGACACTTTGTGGCTCTCACCTTTACCTTTGCACAATTGCATTTTAATCACATCAACCAAGAACCATAGCATATGAAACAACATTATATAAAAAAGAGAGAGAAATATTCTAACATGATTTGGCACTAGATCTAAGTCAGAACTCGTTTGATAATTTTCTAGGTAACATCGAAAAACTTACCAGCTTTCCATGAGAACCTTGTCTTGGTTCATAAGACAAAGAGCAGCAATCGAAACACCATCTTCGTTCTTGGTCAGGTACTTGCAAACCGGACCAAGCCCGTAAAGCCTCTCGACACCGTCTCCGTTGGGGAGTGTACGGTTGGAGCAGGTGAGGACGGAGTAAGCCGTAAGAAGACGGAGGATACGGTCGAGCATGACCGGAGCTTCGGGGTTTTTGGTCGGAAGATGAGAAGCGATCTCAGAGGGAGACATCGGTTTAGTGTTCTTGGCCATGATTTCGAGAAGATCGAGCTCTAAAGCCGATTTTAAAGCCATCGGAAGAACGGAGGCACTCGCTAGCTGCATGGCAAAGAGGGCAGCTTCGTCGTCGGTGACTTGTACCGGAGTTATCTGTGTCTCCGCCGTTGATCCCATTTTCTTGAAATCTCTTAGATATATTTAGATTGCTCTGTTTTTTTTTCTTTGTTCTTTGGGGTTCTCTGTTTTGAGAGGATTATGTGATGGGTGAGAAGTAGGAGGTTAAGAGGTTTATTTATATGGAAAAATAATAAAAGAAGGTTAGACGATTGGCATATTTTAACTCAGAATTTCTGATCTGGCTTAATTACTTGGTCCAATTGAAATGGAGACATATCAATCTCTTGGTAGTTTATTATATAAATAAGAGACCCTAATAGGCCAAAAAAATTAAATATGTCTAAAGGGAAAGTAACACATCCAAACAAAAAAGTATTACAATGCGTTCTAAATAAACAAATGAATATATATATACTCAAGTAGCCTTTATTTATATCTTCAAATGATATAATCTCACTTTAATATTAAAACAATGAATCATTAAGCTGAACAATATCGATTTCTTTAGCAAAAATACATATTGCATAAGTACTAACTTATAAGCTATTAAGTTCGGTAACAATAACAAATGTGCATTTTTTAACAAAATAAAATTGTTCTTCACCAGTATGGTGCAAATAAAACCATATATTAGAATTGTGCTTAGAGCTATCGAAACTAGAGACATTGTAAAAAAAATCAAAAATCAACTCATGCATGACAATTTTTGTTTTGTGGCTAAAAAGCTTAACATGCATAACAATTAACAAAGTTAAAATAACAACCATCGTCAGTTCAAATAACTAAACAAAAACTTTAGTAAAGTTCACTGCTTTAATGGTGAGAAAATAAATGGATTAGTTACACTATTATTTCCATCGTTGTTTTTAGTTTTACATAATTTGTTTCTACTTTTCTAAAGCTTTAAACAATATTTTATTAATATATTTTGGACCTAATATTAGTATATATAAAAAACATAATATTTTATTAAAAACAGTGGGCCCGTAAGCGCACGTTTCTAATTTGCCTACATAAAATCAGACTTGACATCTATCATAACTCATATAAGTCCCAGTAGTGCAAAAGAAATTGTTTGTTGACAGTTATCCGTAAAAATGTTGTTCCATAGTCGTTATTTCAAGTAATACAGGAAATTAGATTAATTTGTTTTGAATTGAGATTATCATTTATAATATAATGACGAATTAATTTGTATCTTTCTTAATGAGAAAAGAATATGGTGAAAGGGAAAAAGTGAAAATTTGTTAATTACTTAAGAATGTGCGGATGGTCAATATATATGACAATCTAAAGCATTTTATAGGTAATTTAGGTTATATTCTCATAAAACCAAACATTGATATGTACATCTGTTTTTTTCTTATATGCGTGTGAGTTTAATTCCGTCTGTTGTACCATTTCTCAATAGTATAACCTACAATAATCAAACTATTAATTGATACATGAAAGGAAAAAGATTAGGACGACCCAAAAAAAGAGATTAGACTTGAGAATTGAGATGACTATGAACCAAAAAAAAATTGACTATGCAATTGTAAGCGGGGCATATTGTATGGTGAGTGGGACCGATAAGGCACACTTGTTCCTAATTCAATGTCACTTTTGCTATTTATCGTAATAATCGTATTGTTTTTTTCCTCCTTTTTCATCGCTAAATCATTTCCTTGACATATTGCTTCCATAGAATGTCTAAAAAGAAAGGATTGGGAAGTTTTACCTAAAAATGCGTTAATTTCATTTAAATTGATAAAAATACTTTTAATTATGAAAAACAGTTCGGCAAAAGATTATCCTTCTTTTCATCAGTAAACTACGTAGTATTTTAGTTTATATATTATATATATAAATGAGTCAAAAAGCTTTATGTACCGAAGACTAAAAGACTATTAATCTGTAATTAAGACTTGGTGTAATACATTTTTCCTTTCTAAAATTGCACTAAGTCAAATCAACATACATGTGTTGAATTATGAAAAAGAATTCGGTGACGCCCCTTCGACGTACTTCGCTTTCTAGATCACTGCACTATTAAAGTATAAATTTTCTTAAAATGATTAAATCCTTTAATGTAGATTAGCAAAAAGGTAGAAATTATGAAAAATAAGTAAATAAGACCCTTCAAATACCTTTATTTTCCTTGGTGACAATGACAAATGACATGTTAGAACCTTTGGGAAATTCTATAAGCTTAAAAAAACTTAGCAATGTGATAAGGTAATATCTTTTGGTAACAAAACAAATTTTTAACCGAATTCCTGCCGATCTATGATAAACATCCATGATCAATAAAAGAAATACCATTGCAAGTTGGTAGTTTTTTTTTTGTTAATTATTGCAAGTCATAGTTGGTGATCTTTCTTAGAATTGTCAATTGTTTAACCAAAAAAAAAATTCTTTGATATTCACACCAACCACACAACCACAAGAGAAAATAAAATCACAATAATTTGATCTTCTTATATTTTTAAAAAAATATCGTGCTCTGACGGGACACGTATGACATTATGATTGGATAGAACTTCGTATTACACAAATAGAAGCATCTCACCTACTCCTTTGAAAGATGATGTGAACACATCTCTCAACACTTCTGAATATAAATTGGCGTTGATAGTTGTAGGACCACCAGTCTCAGGTACAAGTCTTTACTAACATTTTCAATTAATATTACATGTGCTCTTTTTTTTGGCCGTTGAAATTGATAGATAGTTTTATTTACCGAAGATGATAGTGTTTTATATAAAAAGGTTATAAAGTACAACATTTATACCAACAACTTAATTTTAATACTAAATATGCGTTTTTACTGTCCGTTCAGATGAATAGGTTTATTATTTACCAAAGAAAGTTGTGTTTTATATATTACTAAATAAAAGGTTAGAAATTACAGCATAGAAGCTGCAGCATATATTTCTGCAAAGAGCATCGTACGTACTGTTACAATCCTCTAATGGCCTATGGACTATTTAACGGAGAAAATTTGAATTCAATCTGTCAGAAACCGATCAGATAATTCTCCAAGTCTCCAAGGTTTATGAATATCACAATTAGTATTATTAAGGGATAATTGGAAAAACAAAAAATGGCTTTGTCGAAATTATCCAAAAGATCATAAATTATTTATTTTAATTTTTAAAACTGAGCTTTCGAAAACTCAGTAAACAGCCCTCTTTAGATCATGATTTTCTAAGTTTTCTACGAAGATTTCTAAGTTTTGATGCGGTAAAATACACCACCTTTGTTTTTTGTTTTTGTTAAAAGGCATATAACATACTAATATAACACCTAATGTGTTCGTTGAATTTTAATGTGAAGTTTTTATGCAGTCAAGTTCTTATTCAATGTATACTATTTCATCGAAGTGCTAACCCTTGTATAGTTGTATAATTGTATATAAGCAGCTCATTTTGATAAATCAAATTTCTTAATTATAGTATAAGATAGGCTATTGTTAGGATTCAGAGGCCTAAAGATGTCGATTTTCCTTGGACTTGAGACACAACAAACCAAGATATAGATGTAAGACTCAAGAACGAAACAGAGGAAGACCAAAAACACAGTGTTCACAAGGAATAAAAGACGTTGAACAAGATATTTGCAGAGAAATATGAAAGAGTAGAAAAGACAGGAGCACACACCAAGATTTAACGAGTTCATGGTATTAAACAACCGCTACGTCTCGCCGAGACTTGCCTTGGAATCCACTAGATAAAGAGAGTAGCTTTATACAACAAGATTAAACAAGAGCCCTGCCTAATGCCCTTCACTAGCACTTAGACACTCTTCGAATCAATCTTGTACCAAGAAAACAACACCAAAGCTTATGCTAAACAAGTTTTCTCTAAGCTATGAAACTCTCCTCTAACACTCAAGTCTTTCTTACCACTCTCTCTCTCTCTTCCACACTCGCTTTATAGCTGCTTCGAATTAGGGCTTCACACTTGACTCAACTGCAAAACGCTAACCTTCTCAAACGCCAAACGCCAAGGCTGAGACTCGGTTTCTTCATGTTGCAGACCATAGCACGCGACTTACTGTTTTAGTATACACCAGACAATAAGTCCTTAAGGGGTTTGGCAAACTTTGTGTCTTCCCTTTTTAAGCAGTTGCCATTTCCCCAAGCAAAATTGGTCCCAAAAGCAAACTTACTGCAGTTTGAAATATAACCGTTGCAGGTAAGTTTCTTTGTTACCGCTGAGTCAAATAAACAAGTTTACTGACTTGTTCATCATATCCTTTGTCTTCACAAATCTCCACCTGATGATCAAGTCATTATCTTGCCCTTTTGAGAGAGAGTAGTAGCCTGCATCTAGTACTTGGATTCCAGTCTCGGATTCCTGAGTTTTATTACTCAGACTTTACCTGCAACAAGTTCAGAGCCGACTGAAACTTGTTAACAGGCAAGACTTTAGTAAAGATATCAGCAGGATTCCTTTCAGTTGATATCTTCAATACTTCCACATCACCATTGGCAATTACTTCCTGAATGTAGTGGTGCCGCACATCTATGTGCTTAGTTCTCTCATGGTGAACATTGTTCTTGGAGAGAGCTATTGCACTTTGCGAGTCACAAAACACTTCAACACTATTCTGTTCATATCCGAATTCCTTTAGTAACCCTTTTAGCCACAGAGCCTCCTTTACAGCTTCTGTCAACGCCATGTATTCAGATTCTGTAGTTGAGAGAGCAACAACTCTTTGTAATCCTGATTTCCAGCTAATCGTATTACCACCCAGTGTGAATACCAAACCTGTAATGGATCTTCTTTTGTCAGGATCAGCTGCGAAATCTGCATCACAGTAGCCAGTTATCTTGAAATCATCGCTTTTCTTGTACACTAAACAACTTTTCAAGGTTCCCTTGATGTATCTCATAACCCATTTAACTCCAAGCCAGTGATCTCTAACCGGTTGAATCATGTATCGACTGACAATTCCCACAGGATATGCTAGATCCGGTCTTGTACCGATCATAGCATACATGATGCTTCCCACTGCAATAGAATATGGAACAGATTTCATATAGTGTTCATCTCTGGCCAGCTTTTCTTCGGTTTCTGCACACATCTTGAGATGAGCTCCCAGTGGAGTAACAACTTGTTTTGCTTCCTTCATATTATAAGTTTCCAGAATCTTGTTCAAATAGCCCTCTTGTGACAGCCATAAGAACCCGTTCTCTTGATCTCGGACAATTTCCATTC